TTCATACCTATTATTTGCCATTTTGTTGCTTACCATGTATTTTACCATTCCAAATAGCTTACTGCTATTTGACCTATTTCTATGTATCTTGACTTTTATGCCTATCAAAATATTTCAAAAAGCTTTGAATTTATCCTTTTATATATAATTGTTAAATTAAGATATAAATGATTAATTTAATTATAAATAACAGCTGGGTTTAAAAGAATATTAAACAGAAATCAATAAAAAAGTTTGTATGCCTTTTTTTTTTTTTGCAACCTTTTCTGGTATGATTTCTGAATTCTTTTAATAAAATAAAATTATTAAAAAAAGTTAACTAGTTATTGACATGTTAGTTTATTTGTTATTGACATATTAGTTTATTCTATATATTGCCTATCAAAAAAAAGTCTTTAGCAAATATGTATAGGTGTTAATGATGCTTTAAAAAAAAAAATAGAACTCAATATTTTACTGCGTCTATTTTTTTTGAAAGCACTTTATGTATGTATCTTTATATATATATATATATATATATATATATATATATATATATATATATATATATATATATATATATATATATATATATATATATATATACACCAGGGTTGGCATTAAAAAACCCGCCCAAAAAAACCTGCCCAATAAAACCCAAAAAAACCCGCCTAAAAAAACCCAATAAAACCCTGGAAAATCTGGGTTTTATTGGGTTTTTTTAAAGATATTTAATAAGTTTATGAACTATTGTAACCAACTTTAACATTATAACTATAATATTATTTACTAAAATAATTATTAACTATTATTATTAACTATTATAACCAACAATAACAGCTATCAGAGGAGGTTTACTATTATTTGAATCATTTGGAAATACATTATTACAATTTTTATTCAAATATTTTTATCGATTGAGATTTTTATTACTTTATGTTGTTCACCTCCCAAGTTAAATTTAAATGAGTAGTAGTGACCAGAGAAGCCAACACAACAGTCGAGGAGGCTACCTTGTTGTGGTTACAACCCTTTCTCAACTCTTTTGCGGTAGTGGTGTTGTGGTAGAGCGCTCACTTCATAAGTGACAGGTTCTGAGTTCAATCCCCACCACGTCTCTGGCAGTACCGCGCTCAACTCCTTTATCCGCGCAGCGGCCTTGTTTGTCAAGGTTCGTGTTTCAGAGTTATAGAGTTGAGAGAGGGTTATAACCACAAATAAGTAGCCTCCTCGCCTGTAGTTTTGACATATGGTCATAAGCTTTAAGGAGGTGAATTGATTTAAAAAAAAAAAAAACTCTTTAACTCCTAAACACGAATCTTTATAAACAAGGCCGCTGCGCAGAGGAACAAGTTTGTTTATTTGAATTTCAAGTTCAAAGTTTAATTGAAACTTCAGTTACGACCTCCCATTCTCAAGCCTTCTTTTTCACATTTTCTCATTGACATTTTTAATTATATAGAATAATACTTTTAAATTTAAAATAAATCAATACATATAGATTAAGCGTGAAATTTTTTTTTCTATTACAGTTTCAAATTATATTTAAAAATCTTTTTCAAAATAATTTGAAAAATTCTTGTTATAAATAATTAAACAACAATATATTAAATAAATTTTAAATAAAGTTAAAGTAGAAAAAAACTAATTTTCAATATCATTAAACAAAAACACAAAAAAATTTTTACAGAGACAAAATAAAAATTAAACCCAAAAAAACCCAAATTTACCCAATAAAACCCAATAAAACCCACTGGGCCGGGTTTTTTTAAAAAAACCCGGGTTTTTGCCAACCCTGATATACACACACTATTGCTTGGTCATTTTTAATTTTTACAAAAAATGTCAAACTTTTCTTTTTTTAAACTATTTTAAAGACTGGATAAGTTTAAAAACTTTTTTTGAAAAGTTTTTATTATTTGATGCTTATTTTATTATTTGGTCTGCTCCAACCAAACCTTCAGTCGATGTAGGGGCAATTCTTCTAGTAGCATTCTATAAGATAACAGATGTAGCAGCACTCCCCTGTAGCAGCAAGCTATAAGATAGTTGATGTAGCACAACTCCACATGTTTTACAGTAAAAAAATAAAAATAAAAAAATTCAGAATGTTTAACAAAAACATGAATGTTTTTATTATTTTCAGTGCTGCTACATCAACTGAGGGTTTGGTTTAGGCAGTCTATCAAATAATAATAATAAAAAACTTTTTCCTATCTTTTAAATTTATTAATAACAAAAAAAAATAACATATATATGTTTTTTTTTTTTTTAATTAACTTAAAAAACAGGAAAAAGTTTATTATTGTTATTATATTACAACTGCTGGTTTATATACTCTATAATATATATATATATATATATATATATATATATATATATATATATATATATATATATATATATATATATATACATATATACAGTATTGGACAAAACATTTGCAACAAACATCGAACAATGCTAAAAAGTGTTCCTAATTTTACATGTCTTAAAAACAAAACGAACTATACTACCACAGCAAACAGTTCAGGAGTCTGGATTCATAGCCTGCAATGACATGAGCAATCAGCTAACAGGTGACAGCACACAGGCAGAACTTCGTTGACAAGTGGCATTTTGTAGCCGACAAAACAAATGCAACTTTTTTGGTTTGTTTCATTTATATATGTCTGGTCTTTGTCAACGTCACGGAAGTTTTTTAATAATTAAAGGAAGCCAACTCCCTCTGATTGCCTGCAGGGGGCATCTGAGCTTGAAAAGGATCTCACTTCTGCTACAGCATGGGGCTCACAGTGGCTGGTGAACTTTAATTCAGATAAAACTCAATTTTTTTCAGCCAATCGTTATCGCAATAATTTAGACCTTCCTATATTTATGAACGGTAATGTACTCGATGAGTCTCCTACCCTTCATCTTCTAGGATTAACTCTTACTTCTGATCTTTCTTGGAAACCTTATATCAAATCCGTTGCAAAATTAGCATCTGTTAAAGTTGCTTTTCTTTATCGAGCTCGACACTTTCTTACTCTGGATTCTATTCTCTATCTCTATAAATCTCAAATCCGGCCTTGTATGGAATACTGTTGCCATGTCTGGGGCGGATCTTCTAATGATGCCTTTTCTCTTTTAAACAAGGTGCAAAAACGCATTGTAAACCTAGTTGGACCTGCTCTTGCAGCCAACCTTCAACCTCTGTCACATCATTGTAATGTTGCTTCTCTATCTCTTTTCTACAAATACTATAATGGGCACTGCTCTAAAGAGCTAGCGTCTCTTGTGCCATCTACTAAAATTCATTCTTGTGTTACTCGTCATTCAATTCAATTAAGTCTCATCCTTTTTCTGTTACTGTGCCTAAGTGCTTCAAAAACTCTTACTTGTCCAGTTTTTTTCCTCAAACATCAGTTCTTTAGAATTTGCTTCCTTCATCTTGCTTTCCTGATTCATATAATTTGCAATCTTTTAAGTCGTCTGTCAATCGTTATCTTGCTTTACAATCTTCATCTTTTCTCTTACAGTAACTTCCAACACTAATTAGTGGTTGCTTGCAGCCTTAAAAAAAAAAAGTATCCAGAAGTTTCCAGAAGCATGCAGAAGCTTCCAGAAGTTTCCAGAAGAAGCATCTGGAAGCATCCAGAAGTATCCAGAAACATTCAGAAGCATCCAAGTGCAAAAATGGCTCCCGACAGTCTTGGATTGGAACTAAGAAAGAAAATTATTGGCGATTACGTAAGTGGAATGTCACAAAAAAGTATTTATGATAAATATCACGTGAAAAAATGGACCGTATCAAGACTATGTTCCAAATATTGTTCTACGGGGAAATTGGCAGCAGATAACAAAGTAGAAGACCGCGTTCCACCACTTCTAGAGAGGATTCTATGATCGTCAGATCCGTCAAGAAGGATCCCTGGATATCATAAGTCGAGATACAAAAGCAATTAGAGCTGTCTGTATTGGACCGAACAATCAGACAACGTGCTGTTGAAGCCGGATTGTTTTCTCGACGTCCTGCAAAGAAACCGCTGATTTCACTAAAGAACCAGAAGAAAAGATTTCTGTTTGCTACATCTCATATTGACTGGAATGTGCAGAAATGACGAACTGTCCTGTTCAGTGATGAATCGAAGTACAACATCATTGGGAGCAATGGCATTTGCCGTGTACGTCAACCGGCCGGAAAACGCCTCAATTTATGTTACTGCTATAAGACCATGAAGCATGGTGGAGGCAATGTAATGGTCTGGGGGTGTTTTTCTGCTAACGGTCTAGGTCCAATTCATCGAATCGATGGAATAATGGACCGTTTCATGTATTAAAATATCCTGATGTTATGTTACCTCATGCTGAATGGAATATGCCAATAAAATGGGTTTTTCAGCAAGACAACAATCCGAAACACACTGCAAAAGGAGACAAGCAGTGGTTTCAAGACAACCACCTATGGGTGATGGATTGGCCGCCTCAATCTCCGGATCTCATCATTGAGAACCTGTGGGAGATTGTCAACCGCAGAATTAATCGTGAAGGTGTTCATAATAAGGATCAACTGTTTGAACAAATCCAAAAGGCCTGGGCAGCGATTCCACAAAGTTTCATTGATCACCTGATCGAATCTATGCCTCAAAGATGCAAAGCTGTGATCAACAACAAAGGATTTGTCACAAAATATTGATAGCAAAATACAGCTTGGTCAACATTTTGTGGAGTTGCACTTGTTTTGTCCAGAAGGAAATCAACTTTTTTTAATACTTTTGATTAATCTATTAATTTTCGTGTACAAATAATGAACTTTGTGATGAATAAAACTTGAAGAACATTGTCTCTTAACAGTTACATAGTTATTTCTCTAAATTGAAAAAATGCAGCACTTTTATATAAAGAAACTAAATTAGCATTATTTGGTTGCACTTGTTTTGTCCGATACTGTATATATTACAGAGTATATAAACCAGCAATTGTTTACCTTAAAAAAAAAGATCAAAAAAATTATCTTTTGTAATGAGATTAAAAATTACCTTTTTACTGTTACCAATAGAGTTTTTAACCATTCTGTTCCAGAAATCGTGAACATCAGCAACTTGAGAAAGAACGCTATTTATCTCATTCATATCATCACCAATTATAACCAACAAGTCATCAGCTACTTTATTAAAATTTATAACATGTTCTCGTCTTCGTTGCATAGCGTTAGTAATGTTCTTTAAAAACAAAAATATATGCATTAAATTGAAATAAACATCTATTAAAAAATTTTAAATCGCAATTGAAATTGGGAAAAATACAAACTTCAAGCATATTTAACTTTGCTTCAACATTAGACGCGTCATTTAAATCCAATTGGTTCCATAACAATAAATCTTTTTCATTTTCTTGTAGATAATCCAGTAAATCTTTTTTACATTGCATAAATTCCTCCCATTTTTGAAGACCATAAAGTAACAGTTCTTTCCTTTTATTTGCCCATTGCTGAACATAATTCCATTCTTCAACAGCAAAGTTCACTTGATTGATTAAACTCTCATTCAAAACATCATTTATTGAAACATCTTTGTTGAACAAAATTGAATTAAAAGACTTTTCATCAATTTGTTGTTCTATTTCCTAAATTCAGAAAAAAATTAATAATCTCATAAAAAGTTTTGATAATTATCTCTATCTATTTAGCCAGTAAATCTGCAGCCCATAGCAATGAAACAGAAAACTTGACCATTTTAAAAATAAAAAATGATCATCTAAAACCAACTTTTTTCATTAGAACTAATAATGTACAACCAAGGAGTTTTCAGTCTAAATTTAAAAATCCTTTATTATACTTTAAGAAACCAAAACTTTTGTGAATTTGTGAGTTCAAGTTTTGCATTTTTTGATGTTTTATTGATAACTACTACTTGTTAAAATTTGAATAAAATATGTGTGACTAAAAATTACTAAATTTTTTATCCTTTTAAACAGAAACACCTTGTAGGGGTGTAAAAATTAGTTATAACCACAGCTTTTAAATTAATTATAAATAAGTTAAGATTATTAAAGTTCACTGCAAGACCTTCAACGAATCTGCTTTAATTAGTTTTTGTGTACTTTTAGATAACTTGATTGAATTGTTAAATTTTTTTTCTTAATTTTTTTCCAGTATAGTATATATGGTCTTTAAAATAAATTTGAAAAACTTGAAGAAAAAATTTTTTCTTTTGAATAATGACTTCCTAAGCTAAATAAATTTTTCAAATATTTTATCATTGAATTCAAATTTTTGTCTGAATGATGAATCATCATTGAATTATGCAGTGACCTCCAAAAATACCTTCATCTCATTTAGCTGATTTTTCAAAACAGTTATGTCTGATGCATTTATTTTGATGTTTTCGTAGCTTTGCTTTTTTATGATTGGCAACCACGCAGAAAAATCATCCAGTTTTTTGAGAACCAAGTTGTTTATGAAACTCAAATACCTTGATAAATATAGTAAAAATGAAACCTGTTTTTTTTTTCTCTCCTTAAAATACAAAATTTCAAAAGTAACAAACTAAAATTAAAAATATACTTCTCTTTTTGAATAAAAAATTTGGATGATAACAACTGCATTTCATTTGATAATTCTCTTTTTTGTTGAGTCATTTTTTGATATTTAAGAGCATCTAATGCACCACACTCCTTAAGCTCAGTAAGTTGATCTGTAACTAAGTCTAATTCAAACTTGATTTGGTCACCTTTGTACACAACATTCTAAAACATTATACATTTCAACTTTATAGAAAAAATATTTATGAATGATCATAGTACTCGGTGTAGTCAAGGCAATTTTAAAATATTATAATGTCTGTGTGATATTTTGTTGACTACAACATATTTCCGTATCAAAACATCATTTGCGGTATCATAAAAATAAAGGTTTGTAGCGAAAAAATCCAGACTGATTTTTTTTTAAAAAAAATTTTAAAATCACAATCACTTGTCCAAATTTGAATAAGATTTTAAATAAATAAGCTTTTTAGGTGAAATGAACATCATAGTTTAATAATATGATCTGTTCTGATCGTTTATTGGCAATATTTCTTAATTATGCTATTTCTTAGTCGGAATTCTAGTTTTATTTTGTGAAAATTGATAGAAGTATTGTATTTAGACAACAATATATAGTTAATATATACGTCAGTACTGATTTGAACTAGGATCTATAGTGGGTTAAGGCACTTTTTCAAACGATTTTAATTAAATTCATGTTAATGCCGATAAGCGAAAGTGATCTAAAGACTCCAAAATGGTGTTCTTTAGATTCACTATTTATGAATAGTAAAAAGGTTTTGAAAATTATAAAAAAAAAAGAAAAGTTTCTTTAAATATTAAAAAAAACCTGAAGCAAAAAAAGAATTTTAACATCTAAAGCTCTTGTTTGGACATAATACGCTGTTAAAATCATGGTACTTTCAAAGAAAAGAATTTAAATAGTTTGTAAATCGCCTTAACTACACCGAGCAGTAATAAATATAATAATATTATATTTACAATTATTAGTAAAAATGCTTGCTATTAACAATAATAAATTAATAATAACAATAAAAAAATAGTTTCAATAATATGCAATATATTTCATGATGTTAAAAAAAAAATTTGATTTCTTTCATTAAATCTAAAAACTTTCTGATTTATCATGATTGAACAAACTAATATTAAAAAGTTATTTTGACATTTTGTAAAATGTTCTTTATAGCACATTTGAGAAATTGAACTTCAAAGTCCAATTTTCCAAATGTGCTTTGATATAACTAATGTTTTCTCCTTTTAAATTTGTTGAAGTATAATTTCTTAAATGAGTTTATAAGTGTTTAAGTTTAATCTCTTATATGTTTAAATTAAACATTTAAATCATAAATTACAGGTGCGTGACTTTTTGTTTCCTTAAAATCTGACTGTTTGATTTGCAGTTAAAAACGCTTAGTGTGACAAGAAATCAGATAGTTGCAAAACCTAATCCTGATCGGCTCCCAAACATTATTGCAATAGAACTATATCGAAAACTCACCCTTAAGATAAGAAACATATTGCACAGTAATATTAATTGTATTATAGATTGTTTTACAGTTATATTAGAGCTATTTATGTTTTTTTTTAATCTGCTGAGGATATATGATATGGGTATATACCATGTGCATTGTGGAGATATGAAAACATATTATATGGGGATATGACATGTGTTGTAGGGATATGACAACATTAGTGAGAATTATAGCAAAAAATAATTTACTTTATTTACTAATGAGCTGGTGCATATTACTAATAATAAAAATTAAATACCTTTAAATTTATTAACAAACCAGCAGTATCTTCGAACCTAATAAATTCTTTCTTTTCTAGATTTGCAGCCTCTACTGTTATTTCTTGAATCGCAGTGCCACTTAGTTGTAATCTTTGGCTAATCAATTGCAGCATTAAAACATTAAACCTTAAAAATAATCATGAAAAAGTGAAAAACATTATAGTTTAAAATACTGCGAAATTATTTATACAAATATATTTAGTGTGGTAATGGTGTAGTGGTAGAGGTATGCCTCATAAGCAAGAAGTTTCGAGTTCGATCACCGCCATGTCCCATGTAGTACCGTGCAGAGCCATGCTGTAACTTTTTGAGGCCCTGTACTGTAACTTTTTGTGTCCCTTAAAAATTTATTTTTTAACTTAATGGAATTCATTTTTATTACGTATTATTTATAAAAAAAAAGTTATACAAAGAAATTATAAATCAATTTTCCTAGCTCTTTTGCCGTTGCACTTTTTATCGACAGTATTGTAAGTCCTGAAAAGTCTTTCTGTGATATTGTAGAACGCAGATAATGTGCAATTATTTTGAATTAGTTTTAATTAGTTTTGAAAACGATCGTTCACAATAAACAACGGTAGTTGGTTTTGTTAAAACTATTTGATATACGATACATACATTTGGATATAATTTTTCCAAATTCCTATCTAAAATGAATTCCGAAATCTCTTTAATAGTATAATTATCTTTTAAAATTTATCTTAAAATAGAAAGTTCTTTTTTGAATTCCTCCTCTTTAATATCATTTTCTAAGTGCTTGACCAGATTTGAACAATTAGTATTGAATTTTTATTATTGAAAAGAAAACCAAAAATTTGATTAAAAAAATACCAAAAACATCTGTTGTTTGTTGTAGATTTCAACATGTTGCAGTATCTAATATATAATAATTGCATTTTGGTTAAGTACCGCCCTCCATTTGTAAATTATCACTAATTTTTGAAGTCTTGTTAGATATAATATCCTCAATATTGACACAATCAAATCCTGATTCACTATCTACATTCTTGTTGTGGCTATTGATGTTTAGAAGTTGTGACTCATTCATATTTTCTTCAACATCCTTTTCAAATTGAGATTTATCATTAAATTGCATATTTCGATTAAAGTACTGTTAGAAACTGACGAACTTTTGCCTTGTTAAAAAATTTATCTAATAATCTAGCAAGGCTATTTAATTCTGCTACTTTCCGGATCTGTTTTCGCTCTTTTTTGTGCGCCGCTTACATAAAATCTTTTCAACATTTGAGGTAATTAAATGTTGTATGTAAATTTAAATTAAACAACAAGTGAGTTTAAAAATATTAACTAAACTGTTTAAAAAATTAACAAAAACTAACAATTTGAAACAATAAAACAACAAAACTATTAATTTGAAAAATATTAGGTATATTTGAAAAATATTGTTTTTCAAATTAAATTGCTATCAAATTAATCAAAATTTTTTTGATTGATTGTTATATTGAAACTTTTCCAAAAGGAAATTTTGAGCAAATTCCATTTGAATGGAGTTTCATTTGATTGCGCATGCAAAATTAGGAAATCTTCCTTGAACTCTTAATAAAATAAGCTTCTTATTGAAAAGTAATTTAGTACTAAAGATTCTTAAGAACTGGCTTCTAGTGCTAGTTTCTTATAAATAAGTTTCATATTAGAGAAACATTTTTTCAATATTTGGGGCCCCTTAAATATCAGGAAGCCAGTGCAATTGCACTTGTTGCACTTGCGAAAGTACAGCTCTGGTACTGTGCTCAACTTGTTTCTCCGCGCAACGGCCTTGTTTTTTAAGGTTCCTGTTTTGGAGTAATAGAGTTGGGAGAGAGTTGTAACCATAATTATAGTAGCCTCCTCGACTTTAGTGGCATTCCTGTTTTTGGGGAGGTGAACTAACAAAAAAAATAAAAAATAAAAAATATATATTTATATAATAAGACAAAATAGGGGTAAAAACCTTTCAAAAACTTTTTCATAAACAGTTTTAGAATGATCCAAGTTTTCAAATGCACTATCAATAATCTGTTTTGTCCCATTTGGTAAAAAATGACATATTTCATTAACAAAACCATTTAGATCTTCTAACTTTTCTTTCTGTTTCTCAATTTCGCTTAACCAATTCTATAAAAGTTCCATATTATTATTAAAAGCTTTAACAAAAATAATAACAAATTACAAACATAACCTCTACCTTTTTGTTACAAAGTAGGGCTGTACCGAATTTTGGCTCCGGCTCCGTCCGAAATCCGGCCATTTTTACCAATTCCGTCCAAAATCTGGCTCCAGCAAAATGTTAGCAAATCCGGCATAATAACAAAAAGGCTGGATTTCTGAATTTTGGTCAGATATTTATTACATGTTTCTTGCCCATGATAACATGTATACTTAATATTTTATTTTTAAAAATCAATGTTTTTAGTAATTCTATAGTCTATGAACTTCATGTTTGTTTTGGTATCTGTATTTACATTTCTTTACAATTTAATTAGCTAAGCCTAATTTCAAACAACAACACAAAAAAAAATTTGAAGGGAAGATGCACAATGACACTGGTTGATCCATAATTTCAAACAAAACTCTTCTCATTACAGGCAACACTCACAGGTGAAAAAACAAGATTGAAGTCAATCTGAGCATGCTGAGCAGCAGATTGACAAAACTAAAGAAAATCCAGCAAAACAAGTCCAGCTGGATAATTCTTATACATTATCATTATTACAATGCAATATATATAGATGAAATTATTCAGTCTACGTCCGCTTGTGGCACAGCACATGAACAACAACTACCAACAGGCATTGACACTCAGCTAAGCCAATATCTGGAAGAATTAGAAATATATATATATACATGCTGATTCACTACAGTGGCGGAGTGACAACATCCCGGAAAAAAAAGTTATATAGAATTTCTCTAAATTTTTGAAACATATGGCATATAGAAACTCTATAGAATTTATATAAAACGTCTATTAATTTCTATAGAAATTGCTATAAAACTTTTTAACAACAAAAATGAAGTTTAACAGAAAACAACTGTAAATTGGTATTCTGAATAGTCAACATTGTTGACCATTTTCAGCACCAAGTAGGGATGTACAGGATTTTGACTACTGTAGTTTTGCTTTGAAATCCAGCTCTGATTCCGGCTGGATCTGTTAGTAAAAATCTGGCGAATCAGTACAGCCCTATTACAAAGGCTATATATCTACTCCTACTAAAAATGTTTAACTTGGCTAGTTAATTCTTATTTAATGCAACATTTATGTCTGATGGTTGAATTTTATACACCTATGTCGGACGGTTTAATAATTAATTTATATTAATTCTATTTTTCTAAATGTAATGTGTGTTTGTAAAGGATTGAAAATTCTAAAACTGTCAAAATAATCCAATCGAAAGACAAACTGTTATTATTAGTGACTGTAAATGGCAGCAATCGAATTATTTAACTAAAAGGAAAAAAAACAAATTAAAACATGTTTCTTTGTAAAGTTGATAAAAGAGAACTCTTGCATATTTTAATAATGGTAAACTAATCCACAAAATAGTACCGTAGAGTAAGGTAAACATGCCTTCAAGTGTGAAAAACTAATTGTGCATGTGAATATTGATACTACATATTAGTATAAAGTCTCTACATTGTAACATCAAAATTAGAATACAAGTTTCCAAAATAACATCATTACATAATCATCATCATTCTGGTTAAAACTACCACCAAAAAACATACATTTATCAGGCCTTCTCGTAAGAGGCGTGCGATCGGACGCTTTATATGACCACGCATTTAGTTCTTTGTTTTAACAACTTGACCACGGCTCATTGCAAATTTTGATAATTAGCGCATTTAAAAATTGCGCTAAAAAAAACAAAACAAATTAAAATAAACAATTCATAAACTGAAAAGAGAATAAAATCCTTAAAATAATATATATACCAAAAACTAACCTAAAAAAGTAAAATATTTAAAGAATGATAAAATAAATAAAGGAAAAACCAGAAAAAAGATCAAAACACGTATTAATTAATTTAAACTTAATTGGAACCAAAAGTGAAAAAATCACAGCTCTAATAATCTTTATCATTCCTTCCCATGAATAAATAGGCTAATACAAGGGCGTGGGAAAGGGTAATGAAATTTAATAAAATTTTGTGGTGCAAATTTAAAATTTCATTAAAAAGTTAATAGGATACAGGGTGCAACAAATCGACAAATGTGCGTGTATTTTTTTAAGACAGACAGAAAAACAAACATCACGTTTCTTTAATTTTGCTTATGCAAACGTTGCCGTTTGATTAAGATTTTTCAAAACAAACGCGTTACTTCAGCAATTTTTTCAAAATAATTTTGCGATCAATAGTTTTTTATTTATTACAAAAAACACATATTTAAAATGAAAAACAATTAATTGCAGAGACTTGTTTTAAAAAATGCCAAAACTTTTTTCAATTGCGTCACTTTTAAGTAAAATAATAAAAAAAAGTAACTATGTTTTAGCATGGTTTTTGTATGCGCTCACAAAAATATCATAATTTTACTTAAAATAGATGCTTTTGCAAAAACTTCCAAAGAAACCGTCCTTAAACAATTTGATTGCTTTCTTTTATTGAAGAAAGCGATCGCAATGTTTAAGCTTGGTTTCTTTTCTGCTTTTAGCAATTAATTAAAAGTTTAAAGCAAATAATTTCATTAAAAATAAAATTGTGCATGCTTTTTTTTTTAATTTTCTTATTTTCCATAAACTGAAATAATGTTTGTTTGCATAATAAAAACACTTTTAAAAGTTTTTTTTTATTGTGCGTTTATCATTAATTTGCGCGCGCTTTGCAAATGTGTAAAAAAAAAGTTTTTGAAAAATAACAATTGAATAAATTTACCAAGTATCTTTGATATATTTGATAACTTATTAACTAGAATAAAAATTATTTGAAATTTGTTTGACATAAATCTCTTAAATGAGACGATCGTCAATAAATAAAGATAAGTCAACGTTCATTAAAAAAAACAGTACGTCATGCCCTGGGATAAAAAATAGTTGTCAAATGCGACTATTTCTAGACTATTGTAATATAAGTAAATAATTTCTTTATTAGAAGTTATAGTTCCATGATAAAAAGGTTTGTAATTATTTTTTGATAGCTTCTGTATTCATTTTGCCTTAAACTCTAATCTGAATATTTTTTCAACGATTGCTTTTATTAATTTGCATTAAAGTAGGAAACTTTGTGGCAGTTTAATTGTAATTATGGAATCAATTAAATTAAAAATTGCATTTTACGTTGGCTTTGTTTTCTTTAAGAGCATTTTTTAAACGCGCTAATTATTGAAACTTGCAAAGAGCCGTGGTCAAGTTGTTAAAACAAAGAACTATATGCGTAGTCAAATAAAGCGTCTGATCGCACGCCTCTTACGAGAAGGCCTGTTTATGGTGTTATAGTTTTGATGCTTCTCTCACTTTCTATTTTTAATTGCTTTCCTATTATAATCATTAACTTATTTTTAATTTATTGTAACCAATTCACTGAAAGTTAAATTGAAAAGATTTTTAATGCTAAGCATTTGAAAACTTAACAACTGAATTTTTTCAATTATGCACCAATGATAATTATTTTTTCAAATATGCACTAAAGTTAATTTTTGGTGATTTAAACACTGGTGTGTATCTTCTTTCTTAAAAAACCTTTTTTATCTAAGAATTGATTCCAGGAACCCAGATACAGATAATCAGGATGTTTTTAAAAGCTGCTTTAGTGTGGAATCTTGTTGTCGCTAATATTTCCCTTTAATGTATACTGTTCTTTTTTGTAGATCAGCAACTGACCAGTATCTACCTCCATTTGTAATCTACAAAGCTTTTAACACTTACAGTGTATGGCACAACAAAAAATAATGTTGGATATGGGAATATCTTATTGAAAGTTGATTCTATAGGTTCATTAAATATGTAAAGAATCTTGGAAAGCCTAAGTTACTGATGTGTGATAGAAACAATAGTCATTCTAATAACATATTCTACTGTTAAAGAAAAACTCTTTGGTCTACCGGTAAAAAGTAAACTCAATATAATCATGAATTTTTTGCTCTGTAAAACTGCTAGTAGGAAAAGATCCTTAAAAATTAAGGTTAAGGGAAAACAGACATAAAAATCTTGATAAGACTTGAATTACTTTACACCTAATATTTTCAACTTTACACCTAAAATTTTCCGCCAAGTTGCTCAATCATGCAACCACAGAGTACTTTAAATGTATCTGGATAATGACTTATATGAAACATATGATCTTATTTTTGTACGAGAGTTTGCACACATTGAAAATGCTTTTTTACAGGGTGGCCACTCAAACTCAAAAATGAAATTCCATGACTTTTCCAAGACTATTCTTCAACTTTTATGATAAACCATGTTAAACCACTAACCAGAAAATTATTCAGTACTTGCCATGCACTAAGCATTTAGCAGAAAGTTCTGAAAATCATATCTGAAAAGTTGGAAATCATATCAAATTTTAAACCTTTATGAACAATATAAACTATTCTCTAAAAACAGATTTTTTACGTTCAGATTTGATAGCGAATGACAGTATATTTTTTAATTGTCCAAAAGTTACAACTACATAATATCAACAAACATTTACTTAATAAAACATTCTTATTGTTACATTGATAACAAATGTTATTAACAATAAGAAGTTATATTTATTAAATACATCTTAGAAATGCCTAATAAATTTAGCAAAAGTTAGATGTAACCGTGAAAGCCAGATATAGACAATAAAACTCTAATGTATTCATAGCACATTCATTTTAGTGGAAATCAGTCTAAAAACATTAAGGTGGCTCATATAGAAAAACAAATCTTTTTAATAAAAGAAATTGAAACAGTTCATGAATATTTTATTGTACTTTTGATGATATATGAAGCTTAAATTTTATAAAAAAAGTTGTTAATGGATTATAAAGCAAATTTCAGGTAAAATGGGTAAATTTGACAAAATTCCAAACAATGTTTCTTGATTTATTTTAATTTAAATTCAATAATTTTTGGTTTATAACTTCATTACATTATTATCATTCATTTCTACTAAAAGAATAAAAAAATAATTAAAATATCAAAAATAGGACTCAATAGTTAAAAAAATCACAAATTTATACATATAAAAACATATGTGTTATATACATAAAAAATATGTTGTGTTATAAAAACTGATAAAACTATTCTTAGTTAATTATTTTAGTACATCTGAAATCTTGATGATTAAGAAACATAAACTTAAAATTTATGTTTCTTCAAGAAACATAAACTTAAAATCTATGTTTCTTTAAGAAACATAAACTTAAAATTTATGTTTCTTTAAGAAACATAAACTTAAAATTTATGTTTCTTTAAGAAACATAAATTTAAAATTTATGTTTCTTTAAGAAACATAAACTTAAAATTTATGTTTCTTTAAGAAACATAAACTTAAAATTGATGTTTCTTTAAGAAACATAAATTTTAAGTTTCAGCCAAAAAGCTTTTCTTAATCTTGAGATAAAATGTTTTGAAGTTGCAAAAAAAGAATAAAATTAAAGGATTGTATTATATTGATTTGCATAAAATTAAAGGATTGTATCATAATGATTCACATAAATTAAAGGATAGTATTAAAATGATTTGCATAAATTAAAGGACTGTTTTACCTTTTAAATTAAGTGGTTACAGTAACAAAATTTTTCTAAAATTTTTATTAGATAAATTAATAAATAATGAAAACATGTATGACATTTTGTATACCACCTTTGTATTCCTTGAATAGATCATCAAGAACTTATAAACACTTCTAATAACTATAATCATTGAATAAGTTATAATAATTAGTTATTTTAATGGATAAATAACCTAATAGAGTTGCTGGTTATTTCAAGATTGATATCAAGAACTTATAAACATTTATAATAACTATAATCATCAAATAAATTAAAAGATTAGTTATTTAATGGATAACTAAACCAATAGAGTTGCTGGTTATTTCAAGATCAACATACAAAGCAGCCTACATACTAATGATGCAGTTTATAATTTTCTATATATAGACCTTATGGGGACTGTACGACAGCACTTAAGTTGTTTAATGTTAAAAAATTTAAATAAAAAATGCGTATAAGTGAAACAAAACAATTTTAATGGCATTGTTTGTGAAAATTGTTAAAAAATAATTTTTACAGCATTGTTTGATAAAATTGTTAAAAAACAACAAGCAATAAGTTACCTCTATTTTATTAATATTTCTTTTGATATTTTGCTTATCGTTGTTGAGCTGTGTTTCATTTAAATTATCTTTTAACAAGTGCAGCATTTTAAAAATTTGTCCCTTTTTATCATCCAGTAAACTGTTAATCTTATCATACAAACTACAAGTAGAAAAAAAATTGAGAACACAAGCAACAAATAGTAAATTATTGTGCCTAAAATACAAGCGACAACAAAAAGTAACTTATTGCGCTTAAAATACAAGCAACAACAAAAAGTACTTCATTGTGCTTAAAATACACACAACAACAAAAATTAACTTATTGTTACTTTTGTTACAATAACTTACTTTTAAGAAACTACAATAAAATTAATTCTTGCCTTCTAAATTGAGAATCAAGCTGATCAACTAAGTTACTCCATTTTCCTTTGAATTGATGCAAATGTTGCTCAACTTCTTGATTATTTAAGTTGTTTGCTGTAATTTCTATTAAAACACTGTCTGCTAATTTTACAATAGCTTCAAATTCATTTGCTTTTGAGTCCAGATCAGAGAAATGTTTCTTTAAACACAAATTTTAGAAAAATTTTGACATTATTAGTTTATAAGAAACTTTATATATAAAATTTCCTAAAAATTACCTTTAAAGCATGTTCTTGACTCAAAAGGACAGAAACTTTGTTTGTCTTTCTACTTATAAGATTGTCAACCTGTGCTTTAACAAAGTCCAACCAACTACACGAAGCATTTAGCTTATCAACTAAACTGATGACTTTATTGTTGGCTTGTAAATGCAGT